GAATCGGAGGGGGCAGCGGCGGCGGGGGCGGGGGAGGAACAGGCATTGTGGCGGAAGGTTGGGGGGAGGGCGCAAGGTTCGTGCGGGGCGGAGAGGGGGGGCGGAAGGGCGGGAAGTTGAACGAGGGAGGTGAAAGGGGAGGGAAGTTGGGAGAAAGAGGGGGAAGGAGATGGAGGAGGGGAAGGAAATAGAGGGGAAGGAAATAGAGGAGAGGGGATCAAATAGGGGCGATTGATGGATGACGTAACGGATGGAAGTGGGGCTGGGGATGTAACGGAAGGAAGCTGGATTTCTGCTGCTTTTTTAAAAATTTTAACTTTTGAACGGCTGAATTGGCGGGAAGATTGGACGGTTCGGCCTTGGCTGCGGCCTGAGTGCTGCCTTGTGTTTGCTGCCCAGCCTAACAAAGGTCTCTGTAAAGCTAAACATCTGTGAGAGGTTGCATGCTAGGCAGGGTGTGCCCAGGCGGTAAGCGGTGCGAGGCATCCGTGTGTGGCCTGTGGGGAGAGCGGACCAACTGGAAAAGAAGAGGTTGCGGTTTGTCGCGTGTACAAACTTTATTCTACAAGGGCAAGTATTTTTAGATGGTTGAACCTTGCAAGTTGCGAGTTAAGGGTGCTTTAGTCGCGGTTTTCTACTCTTTAGTCATACACTATGGTATGGCGACCTGAAAGGCATGCTTTGCAACTCGAAAAGTTCCCGATGCCGTTGACACCTACGCCTGAATGATGACATCAGCATGCACTCCGGCATGACAACGCACTTCGTAGCATCCCAAAACCGGAGTAGATTATGGTACAGTAGAAAAGGTTAATGCGCGATAGCGAGAGGGTTAACGATCCTGTCGCTGTCGCACATTCCTTGTGCGAAAAGAGAAAAAGTAAAAACAAGGCGATCACGGTCGTTTCTGTTGAGGTAAGATAAGATATAGGGTCAGGTGGTCTCCGAGCTGTTCCGGAAAGGTTAGAAGAGTCGGCACCTCATGCAAAATGGAAAAAAAGGCAGCTGGATCTGCCGGGCTTCGATCCCGGTACTTCTCGTAGATTCTGTATCTGTTCGACACGATTTGCTTGATGCGAAACGAGCACTCTACCAATTGAGCTACAGACCCTTGCACGCTCGGTTCAGATAATTTTTTTTCCATATTTATACCTATACAATAAACGAGAAATGGATCCTTGCCATAAAATTTTTTTTTTTTTTTATTGCCCGTATGCCCTATCACGGTTCGGTCTTATCTGCCACTGCACAAGTGTGAGCCCTTGACGTCCGTTCTATGATAGAGTATCGGCCCTCCCTTACAGTTGAATAAACTACCCACAAATAAAAAAATAAATAAATGATATAAAAAAAAATAGACACACACACACACACACACACATGAAGAAGAAGAAGACAACGTCAGCGTCCCCTCCGTCGCCGCGCCCGCCACACCCGCTGCTTGCGACAGCGGCTGCGCCATGCCAGTTCGACGTAGGCACTTCGAGCGCAACCAGCCTTGACACTTCCCACGAGACCCCGCCCGCGCCTACGCGCGCGACTCCGCCCTCGCCTTCGCGCGCGCCTCCGCCCTCGCCTTCCGGTCAACCCGCCCACGTCACCCCCGCCCAGGTCCCCACGCCCACGCGCCCCTGGGTGACTGTCGCAGCCGCCCAACCCCGTCCTCGTCGCTCCATCTTCCCTCCTGCTCCTACAAATGCTTCCCGCGTTGCCCTGCCTCCCTCTCTTGCACAACTGCCTGCAACATCTCCCATTTCTCCGTTTGTCCCGCCTGCCCCTCTGCATTTGCCAAGTGTTCACATACGCCCGGGTTCCTCCGTCCTTACACTCGCTGCCGCCCGCGCCGCAGTTGCAGCTCCCACGTCAGTCTCGGGAGCTACACTGATCACAGCAATTAACCTGGGCCAACTTAATTCTGAAGCCCCTTTTTCAGGTCTATAACCATATTTAATATAGTCCGGATTAATTGTGAACCCACATTAATATATGGTCAAATCAGATATAACATGGTCCAGTTTATTTATGAACCACTGGATTAACCTTGATTTCTAACATTGCTGACAAGTATTCAAGAAATTACGGCTCCACTTCTTGCCCATTGAAATGGACACGATGCTCGGATATTATTGTCTGCAGCTCAGAAAAGAGCTGCTTCTCTTCCCAAAGACCATATCGAGGCGGCGACATGCGTTCTCGCCCTTTTTGAACTCTAAATGCGACTTATCATAAGACTGTTTCCTCCAGGTCAAAACCAATACTAACTTGGTCCAGCTTATTTCTGAATCCAGGTTAATATATAGACCAAGGTTAATTGCTGTGATCAGGTGTACACTCGCTGAAGCACGCACTTTCGTCCGTACTGTCGGCAATCCGATCCGCCTGGACCCCCACACTGGCGAGCCCGTAGCTCTGCCCCCCGCTATCACTGCGTATGCCTTCGCCCCAGATTCCCAGTCCGCCGCGTTCCAGTCCTTTGACGCGGCGCAAGCCGCGCTTCGATGAGGCGCCCAGCAAGCTGGCCCAATGCTCCCTCCGCACGTCCTCATTCCCGGCATTGGCCGCTGGACGTACGTATATTTCCTTGCCGACGCCAAACCTACTTTCGCCCGCATCTTTGCCCATGTTCAGCTGGTCTATGAAGACCTGGACTTTGACCATGCACCTATCGTATCCAACGCCTGCAAACTCGATTCCTCCGCTGCCGCTGGTGTCGCTTGCCGCCTAAACCGCGAGGCCCAGCGCCTACTAAACTACCGAACTCCTACTGCCGTTCCGATGCGTGTTCGCATCGCACTTGCGACGTGCCTCAGGGCTCACTCTCAGGCAATAACACAAGGTATTCCAAGCCCCCACGCCAAGATCCCACGCTCGAAAATTTCCCGCATTGAGGACTCAAGCTCTCATAGTCCACGCTCTGATATCCCCAAGAAGAATCCGCGCCCCAATGCGCTCTCTGCTTCTGCTGCTACTCTATTGCCCGCAACCTCAGCGCCAACTCACCGCCGTCCCGCTTCCGCTCCTGAGCCGTCACCTTCCACAGCCCTCCCGTCTTCTGATTGTCCCACTCTTCCTCCCCTCACAGCCCATCTCCGTACTTCCCTTAGTGACTCCTCCCCTGATACAAGCCCTGCCACCTCACCTGCTGCCGCCTCACCTGCTACCGCCCCACCTGCTGTCGCTTCACCTGCTTCTGTTTTCGTGCCATCAGCTTCACGGACACCCCTGGACTCCTCAGCACCCCCATCACCTCCACAAGCCTCAAACCTCC